TCCCTTCAGCAGCAGTGTCAGTATCATTCTTCCTTTGTGTTGAATGCTCAAGGCCAGCCCTACCATTAGACAGAGTGAGGTGGCCACCTCAGGCAGCTATTTTTGGGTGCAAGGGATGAAGGGGCAGCACATTTATGTAATTTATTATTATTGTGCTTTTATTGCCAGGTTGAGGGAGAGGTACTTGTGGGTTTTCTGCCTCAGGTGCTAAAATAATGTGACTGGCCTTGGGTACTATTCATCATGATTTGAAGGAGGCCACCATTTGCCACTCTGCCTCAGGTAGCAAAATGCCTTGGGCCAGCCCTGAGAGTGCTCAAGATGGTCACAAAGCAACATGATAGAAACTCGTTGCCTCTGACATTCCCAGACACACAGAGCCCTTATTGTATCACAGGTGGATATTGATATCTTGATTTATGCTGGCTTTTCTCTTGAGCATTTATCAGTCACTGGGGAATTGGACTCTCTCATTTCTTGCTGGGAGTTTAGTGGATGACAGAGATTGGCCTCATCTTCTTCTGAGTCCTTCAGAGTACTCCAAGGATGGATAGAAGATCTGTATTTCATTCCTCAGATGGGTTCAAGGAAGGTGAGTATGAATGCTAGTTTTCTCATTGTTTCCACCTGGCACAAAAGGAAAGATTGAGCCTCTCCCCGGTCTTTTAAGTTTCATGCTAACTTCTTACTAACTTCATGCCAGTGTCAGGGAAGGTTAAAAATAGCCAAAAGTGTTTACATTGTTTCTCAACCTCTCAAAAGTCTGGTGGACGGTGAAAAACTTTCCCAGAGTTCTTTGCACATCTCAGAGGATCACAAGTTGATTATGGTAGCAATCTTATATGCACCTACCTGGGAGTAAGTCCCATTGAACCCATGTCTCAGTAGACATGTGTAGACTCAATAGTCCCCCTTAAAGGACCCAACTCCAGCTAAGGCACACAACATGAACCCCTCATAGAACCCAAGTCCCATAATGGAGCTAAGATGGACACGAGAGTTAGGCAAGTGTACACATTGTGCCTTTAAAGCACATTCTAATAACATTATTTCCCTCAAATAATTTTGGGCATGGTAGTTTGTTAAGGTTTTCTGGGAACTGTAACTCTGTGAGAGGCAAACTACATTATGCCTCATTTCCTATGCCTTCTGGGCAGGGCGACCAGTTCAGCCTACATGCTGCATCCACTTAAGGAAGCAGCATAGAGAGCAGCATATATTTTTTAAATGAAAAGCTTATATTTGAGCTGTGCATGTACATGCACAATTCCACAGGTGTCTGTTTAGAAGTAGCATAGGAAAATTAATAGGACCATCTCACAGAGCCATTGTTAGGTCAAAGATGGGGTGAGGGAGGAAGGTGCGGGGAGTGGGGGAAGGGTGCCAAACCAGTTCTGCAGAAACCAAGCCACTCCTAGGGATATCAGTAGTAATACGGCACAGCAGGTGCACATGAGATGAAGGGTCATAGCAAAATGCCATAACTGTCTCAGTCTGAAAAATCTCAGAATAAAATGTCAGAAGCAGCAATATCAACAGAAGCAGGGGTGAGCATCACATGCATTGCAAGGAGGTGAGAGGCGATAATACCAGCTTAAAAAACAAACAAACAGAAAGCACTAATGTGGATGAGCTTCAGGGCTCTTCTTGTGGTTTCATGGAGGCTACCTGGAAAAAGCTCCACATGGCACTGCAACATGTGGTGAGAGTGGTTAGATACCATGATTGTCTTCCTCATGGGGAGAGACTCAACATTTCCAGACATTCCTGGTAATGACTGGAAGGGGCAATAATAGCATCAATCCATTTGGTGAACCACTGCCTATGTTAGAGCAATGGAATGGAGCAATGGCTATCAGGATACTGCAGGCATTGCTGAATATGTTAGCTTGGCCCAGCAGGCCTTAAGTTGCTGACTAGTAAAACCTTGGTCTTTACCAGGACTTTTGTTTTTAGCAAAGGAAATGACAATCGATCAAAGTATTTGCTGCCGCTATCTACATAAAGCATTTATTTCTTTTGTGTTTTACTGCTTTATTGTAAATTATTTTTTCGCACCACTTCCTTGATCAATTTTACTTAGAAAGGAGGGGGATAAATATGATAAAGTATAACAAACAAACAAACAAACCTTTAATCCTGTGTCGCTAAATCCCACGGCCTTTCCTGTGAAAGCTTATTTTTGCTGCGGTGACGCTAGGCTGTTTCTGTAGCCCCTGAAGGGTTTGGCTGAAGTAAACAGCGTCTGAGTCACCAGAGTGTACCCCCCCCTCTCTTGCTGCTAAAAATTACCTGGGGTGGGGTGGGGAAGGAGGGAGGCAGACAGACCAACAGACAGTTCTGTCAAGCCATTTGGCAGCCTTTGGATGATCCCATTTAAATCAGCACGATTGAAGCTGGATGCGTGTGTGGCACGGCAGGCTCCCTCCTCAACGCTGCCAAGGGCAGCTCTTTAATAACGCAGCTGCTTCTGTGTTTTTTTTTCTGCTCCTGTGTATCCCATTTCAATCCATCAAACCAAGGTGCCTGCCATAGCAAGCCCACCCAGAGGAACAGTGGAGAGGAGGACAACCCAGACTTGATGAGGAACTATCAGCCAGACATTGCCTCCCTCAGTTCCTAGGCTGCTTGCCTGTCAACTCAAGTTCCGATGTTATATTGTGTTGCTGTAGGCATCTCTCACGCTGGTGGCAGGGGCAATGATAGAAGCAGGCCTGGGTTGGGGGGAGAGAACAAGGGATATATATCTTATATTGCTATACATCCTAAGACCAGAGTGTATATCCAATCAACCACTGTGCTGTGCAGATGAGGCCCTCCTGCAGACACCTTCTTATTAGGAAGTTCACGCTGCATGACCTAGGCATTGGGCCTTTAGTGTTGTAGAATCCTCTCCCCTGAATATTGACAGCTGCTAACCCTGTTAGGTTTTTTGGTCACCTTCCTCTCCCAACAAGCCTTTTAAGTACAGTGGTACCTCGGGTTAAGAACTTAATTCGTTCTGGAGGTCCGTTCTTAACCTGAAACTGTTCTTAACCTGAAGCACCACTTTAGCTAATGGGGCCTCCCACTCCACTGTGTCACTGCACGATTTCTGTTCTCATCCTGAAGCAAAGTTCTTAACCCGAGGTACTATTTCTGGGTTAGCGGAGTCTGTAACCTGAAGCGTCTGTAACCCGAGGTACAACTGTACAGATAATCTGGGTAGCTCAGTTGGTTAGAGCGTGGTGCTGATAACACCTGCATTGCAGGGGGTTTGGACTAGATGATCCTCACGGTCCCTTCCAACTATTCTATTCTATTCTATTCTATTCTATTCTATTCTATTCTATTCTATTGAGATCTTTCCCAGTACCTGGAATTGTTTATTGTCTGTGTGTTTGCCACCCTGGGCTCCTTTTGGATATAAATTTAGAATAATAAGTACTGTAATAATAATAAGAAATAGTGTTAATGGATAAGAGAGTTGCTGCCTCTCTCTCCTTCTGACAGATCCCCAGAGCATTTAAATACCTGCATAACAAACAGAAATGGAAAAGCAGTGGCAAGGAAAGCTTCATGTATTGAATCATTGTGTGTCACAAAGCTGTTAAAGTCACAGAAACCCAGAAAAAAATGATGATACAACCCTATAAAGAATTACCTTTCGGAGGGGAGAGGGAGTCATACTCATTGAATGATGATGTGACAGAAACTTAGTGAGAAAGCTTCTGTTCTTGAGTTTGCCTCAGCTGACAAGTCAGGACTCAGGAGTATAAAAGGGAGTGGAAAGCCTGGGGCAGGGCCAGCCATCAGAGTAAGGCAGCTGCCTCAGGCAACAGAATTTGGGTGCCGTGAGCAGGCAGCAAATGCATTATTATTATTATTGTATTTTTGTGCCAGGGGAGTGAAGGGAGGTGCTTGTGGGACTTTCTGCCTCTGCAGGGCAGCATACCTTGGCTGGCCTTGGATATTAATGGATCTAGACTGGGAAGGGGGTTGGAGGGGCATTTGCTACTTTGCCTCAGGCAGCAAAATATATTGGGCTGGTCCTGGGCTGCAGAGTTGACCTGACTCACAGATGATAGGAATACAATGTTCATCTGAAGTTAGACTTCTCTATGCATTTTAAGAACTTTAAGTAACTGCCTAGCCCTTATCTAAAACTGGACGCTTTTTGCATTTATATATATGAATCTTTCACAAATAATGATGTTACCTGTGATTTTTGATAACTTACAGAAGAACAGAGTTAGCGGTTTTGGAGCTCATAATTCTATCTCTACGTTTAAAACATTTTATTGGTTTTTACTTCAGTTGATTGCCCAACTTAGAGGAGGAGAACAGGTGAAAAATGAAATAAATTAACCAATTAATTGCTTTTTAAAAACATGGCTCTACTTCATTTTTCTTTCTAGCACATTTTTAAAATGTTTAGATCAGATTGTACAAATCTGCTTATGTGTTTCTAGCTCTATTGATGCATTAGCAGCTCATGCAATTGCCACCACCTGGGGCTGCATTATGTCCCCCATCAATCTTAATTGCCTACTATTCATGCACCAAGGTGCAAAGTAGGGAGCCTGTTCTATATGCATCGGCTTCCTGCATGATTTGGAACCCTGAACATGCAGGATTCCAAATCGTGTGGGGATGTTAGACACATTTCCCTTTAGTGCAGGGGTCAGCAACCTTTTTCAGCCATGGGCCGGTCCACCGTCCCTCAGACCATGTGGTGGGCCGGACTATCTATCTATCTATCTATCTATCTATCTATCTATCTATAGGGGGAATGAACGAATTCCTATGCCCCACAAATAACCCAGGGATGCATTTTAAATAAAAGGACACATTCTACTTACGTAAAAACACGCTGATTCCTGGACCGTCCACGGGCCATATTGAGAAGGCGATTGGACTGCCTCTGGCCCACGGGTCTTAGGTTGCCTACCCCTGCTTTAGTGCATTGATGGTAATGGAGATGAGTGCATAGGGAAGCAATGGCAGGGATGGGGACAGAGGAACATCTGTGGCTCAGTGGTAGAGCATCTGCTTTGCATACAGAAGGCTCCAGGTTCACTCTCTGGCATTTTCAGGTTGGGCTTAGAGAGATTTCTGCCTAAAATCTTGGGAGAGCCACTTTTGGTCCATGTAGATGATGCTATGCTAGATGGACCAGTGGCTTGAGTCAGTAAAAGGCATCTTCATTTGCTGCTATAATAATTGTGTGAGGGAAGGACTGCAGGAGGGCAACTGATAATATTGAAAACAATTTGTTAATATTCGACTTGTAACTCTTTGTAGAGCCCTGCTGTGACTCTTTTTCTTTGAGCCTATGATAAATGTACTGTCAACAGAGGCTAGTTGCCTTGAATATTGCCATGGGAACCAGAGAGCAGAGCAGGTTGTAGTCGGTGCTTACTTCCTAAAAGGGAGATGCTGACAAGACTGGCCCTGCTAGCCCAAGAAGCACAACAGTTTTCAAGAAGTTTTATACACATTTCCTGTGCAGAAAAATCTAATGAATGAAATCAAGTAGGAAGCAAGTCGGCAAGTAGAAATGGCACCATGGAATTTGGTGCAGTTAAAAGAGAGTAGTTGCGTTTGGGGCCTCCTTTTTTTGAGAACTCAATTTGAAATGTAGGCTCAAGATTTTATGGGAACTGTGGGGTTTGCTGCCACAGGATGTAGTGACAGACACCAACTAGGCTGATTTTAACGGGGAGTTATACAAATTCATGGAGGGTCATAAGGATATCAATGGTTAGTAACCATCACCAGCTGTCACTAGCTAGTAGTCAATGATGCAGAGGTATGCTGGGAATCATAAGTAGGGGAGAGTGCTGCTGTGCTCAAGTTCAGCTTGTGGGACTCTCACCTGCAGTTGGTTGGCCACACTGAGAGCAGGATGCTGGACTAGATGGGCCTTGGTCTGACTTTATTCTTATTTATTTATTTATTTATTTATTTATTTATTTATTTGAGGTCTTTCTTAACTGCCCTTTGTAATATTTGTCCCAGAGTGGCTCACAGTGCCATTTAAAACAAAGCTGTAATAAGCTGTACTAGAAACCAATTAATTGTAATAAATAGCACAGTGAGCACAATACACACATTAAAATAGCAACTACCAACAGCAAAGGCAAACTTCAGTCCTAATGTCATAAAATATGGCATCCTCCCAATAGGGTTTTTAATGTGCAAGCCATTAAAATGTCTGAGAGAATTAAAAAAATAGAAGAAGTCTTAACCTCATGTTAAGGCGCCAGGGAAGTCTCTGTGTTGGGAGAGAGTGCAAGACACTGTGTCATCTCCACCATTGATTTAAATGGGCTCCATTATCTAGATTACTTACTGCCAGTGTTGGATTTAGGGCAGCGTGGGTGGTTCCCCTGCACAGGGTGCCAAGCTGAGGGGGCACAAAATCGAGAAGATCCATAATCAAGAAGATCCATTGGGGGGGCACCAAATTTTGGTTTCACACAGGGCACCATATTATGAAAGATTACCCTTGTCCGCCCTGATTACTCCACAATCTGTTACTGCAGGGGTGTGCTAGGTGCATTCTGGGTTACAGTCCTGAGCATTTGTAGTCAATCAGGGCCAGCACCCCCCTGCAACATGTTGGGGTTTTGTGGCAGTGAGTCATACAGCTAACACATTTATATGTAAAGGGTCCTCTGAAGAGAGAAAGCTTGAAGTCGTTATAGAAGATATGTATTAGGAAATTATTGTATTTACATGTATTGTGCTAAAGTGTTTTTGTTTTGTTTTGTTGATTGTTTTGTTTTGTTGTTACTGGAACTAATAAAGCAAAATTTTAAAAAAGAGAGAAAGCTTGAATACTTCTTAGATAACTCATAGGCAGGAATGTGTAATTCCAAAGTCACCAACATGGTACTCCACACCCTTGGACACCACAGTGCCCTTCAGGTGGGGAGTGGTGCCTGCTTTGCTCTGTTTTATTAGTTTCAGGGTATGAGCAACTGTTTATCCGTATAAGTTAATGGGTTGGGGGGAGCGTTTCTGAGCATCACCAGTTTCTCTTCTGTGAAATTGGTATTTTCTAGTCCACAAGCCAGTGCCCCAACATACGGAGGAATCCTGAAAATCAAACATTGTATGACTTACTGTAATAAACCCACTCCCACCCAAGAAAAGTGTAAAAGAAAATGAATTCGTACATTGTTCTGAGGTGCTGAGATTTGACTGGAACGGAGCCTTGTACTTTCTAAGACCACGTTCACATCATCCCGCTTTAAACAATCCCCTGCAAAGAGGGATTGGTTGTTGAACCACTCTGAATTTTTTTTAAAAAATATTTTTTATTAAGTTTCCCATATTTAATTACATATCATTACACAAATCTATAACATAAAGCATTGCTCAAACAGAGCACCGACTTCCTTCCCTCCCTCTTTCTGACTTCCAAACATCTATTGATAAATTTTCGCATTTCTATGGCCACTTTTTTACTTTAAATTTTCTTTTTTATAAAAATTACCGCCTTATATGTAAATCGGTTTCTTATTTTCACATTACAAAGCATTTCAATTCAAACCTACAAACGTTTTCAAATGTTTACAATTTTCTTTCATATAAAATATAAATTTGCTCCAGTCCTTCTGAAACAATTCGTCTCAGCAATTACGGATCTTCCCTGTCAGCTTTGCCATCTCCACATACTCCACCATCTTTATCTGCCAATCTTCCAATGTGGGAAGTTCCTGCTGCTTCCATTTCTGGGCCAGGAGTATTCTCGCAGCCGTTGTGGCATACATAAACAAATTTACATCTTTTTTCTGAATTTCCTCACCAATTAACCCTAACAAAAATGCCTCTGGTTTTTTATTGAAATTCTATTTAAAACCCTTTTTCAACTCATTACCGTATATCCCAGAATGCTTTTACCTTAGTGCAAGTCCACCACCTATGATGGAAATTCCCCTCTTTCTCCTTACATTTCCAACAATTTTTATCTTGGTTTCTATACATTTTGGCTAATTTAGTCAGTGTAATGTACCAGCAATACATCATCTTCATTAAGTTCTCTTTAAGTGACACACATGCAGTAAATCTGATTGTTTTTGTCCACAATTTTTCCCACCTTTCAAAGTCAATATTATGTCCCAAATCCTGGGCCCATCTAATCATAACACTTTTTACCTCTTCATCCTTTGTATTCCACTCTAATAATATCTTATACATTTTTGACAGTATTTTTCTTTTACTGCTCAGCAATTCTGTCTCAATTTTTGATTTAGTACTTCCAAATCCATTCCCTTTATAATCCTCTCTAAAAACATATTGCAATTGGTGATACTACAACCAGTCAGTTAGTTTTCCTCTCAACTCTTCAAATGATTTCAATTTTAATTTGCCATCCACTTCTTCCAACAAATCTCTGTATGTTGCCCATTCATTTCCCATGTTTTTCTTTTTTACTGCAAAAGCCTCTAGTGGTGAAAGCCACCACAGGGTTTTGCGTTCTAACAATACTTTGTGTCTATTCCATAACCTCAAATAATGATTTCCTAATTGTAGCTCTGTTAGGAGAGCCACTGTCAGCGCCCTTAACAAACTACAGCTCCCAGAATTCTTTGGGGGAAGCCACGAGTGCTTAAAGTGGTGCCATAGTGCTTTAAATGTATGTTGTGAATGTGGCCTTAGACAGTACTTCTCCACAAATCATTGGGTAGGACAGGATTTTACTGGAAGACTTCTTCTTCTGCTTCCCCAACTTCTAGCCTCTTAATAGCTGTGGTGCCAGTCTAAAAGATAGTAATGGCTCCCAGTGATTGCTCCATAAATAGATTTAAAATATTTAAGCCAGAAAATATTTGTCTATTGTCAGTTATGACTGTATGAAAAGCTACACAAGTTGTGACCTTTCACAGCACGTTTTAATAGCTCTTGCCCAGTTGCACTTGGGGGATTTATTTGCTACATCACTCTCATTTTTATGGCGCCATTTATCTCTGCAGCTCTTTTTGCCAAACATATCCAGGAAACCTTCCCTGTGCTCTGGTGCCTGCAGGAGTCAGACATGAGAAAATTAGCAAATATTCTAGTAAAGGAAGTGGGGGCAAAGGAATCTGAGAACCCCATAATCTAGGAATAATAGCTTTGTAACCAATTTACTGTAAGGATGTATGTATGGGATGTTAAGGAAGGGGTAGTACCTCTGGTGTGGGACACGTTATGCACCTTCTGGGGGAATTTTTCCACCTTTGGTCCCTACCCTGCACCCAGTTCCCACTAGTGGCTACACCCCGTGAAAAGGCCTCAACTGGCCTGCTAAACCAGGTGAGGGTAGCCAATGGGTGTCAAACCCTCAGTGAGTTAGATACTTCCCCCTGCTTGCGAAGACAGGCTTTGGCAGATGAGATCAAAAGTGGGTCCAATGGTCAAAAAGGCAGTTTCAGCATATGCTGTGCGGGAAAGTGAGGGACAGACGGGAAAGTAGTCAATCTAGGAGAATGAGAACCCTGATCCTAAACCTCCACTGCCTTGTGGGATATATTTTGGAGAAGAAAATATTTAGGAGCAAACCCTACACATATCCAGAGTGGGGTCTCTAAGATGGTTGAATGGTACCTTGAATGCCTTCTTCTGGCAACTCCGGCAACCAAGCTGGTGCCAAATGTATTGCTTTCCTTTTCTTTGGATATCATCATCATCATCATCATCATTTGTATACCGTCTTATACCTGTAGATTTCAGGGCAGTTCACAACATAAAATTACCACACACACACACACTATCAAGATATAAACAAAAACAAATGAATAATCCCCCCTTCCACAACACATTTAAAAGGGCATCAGAAGTCAACTATCCAAAGGCCTGGTTAAAGAGGAACATCTTCGCCTGGCACCTAAAGATATAGAATGAAGGCACCAGCTGAATCTTCTTGGGGAGAGTATTTCACAAACAAGGAGCCACTGTAGAAAATACCCATTCTCATGTTGCCACCCTCCGGACCTCCCATGAAGGAGGCACACGAAGATGGGCCTCAGAGGATGACCACAGGGTCCAGGTAGGTTCATATTGAGAGAGGTGGTCCTTGAAGTATTGAGGTCCTGAGCGAGACCA